TCTGTATGCGAGCTGACATTTCATCCGTGATGCGTCCACCGGGAGAGATGTAGCTGCCTAAATAACAAAACTTATCCACCTGCTCTAATACTTCTCTAGTTAGAGTGAGTCTGGGTGCTGGACCAAACCAGTCTTGTAGCGGCAGTTTGCACTTTGAATGTGCAAAAGGCATATCGTATATAGCTAAGCTGGCATTCAAGTTATTCAGAAATGCTTGCAGTTCACCTGGATGGAATATACTCTAAGTACCCTAGATAATAAGATAATAAGGTGTACACCGTTACACTCGCATGGGACTGGTTACGTTTAGGTGCCGTCTATATACCCTGGCTTTATTTGGCGGTCCATCGTTTGGAATCAGCCTTGACAATTTATCCTATGAGACAAGTGAAATGAGAACAACGGAGCTTCTCGTTTGCTGGGCTGCTCATTTTGAGTAGACAGCCGCTAAGTTTGAGGACCTCTGCCAATGTCCGGCCGGGTTCCCACTTCCCGATCAGTCTTCAGGGTTGAGAATGGGTTGTTGGCCAATCATTTGAACTGGTGAAACCGGGCGTTTCTCTCTACCCATTGACTTCCAAACATGATTGGCTCAACGGCCGTGAAAGCTATCCTGCTCGCAGGGTGTCGGATGATGACCTTATGCAATCTTTAAGGCAGCGGTTCAATCATGACCATCAAATATGCACTTAAGTTCCCTGGTTTTCGTTGTTACCCCGTGACTGTCTATTTGGGAAATATTAATGTTAGTGGGAAAACAGGGAACGCGTGATAACTTAGGTGCAAGGACATTGGACGGACGCACGGGTACCACTCTTCACGACACTGAGCCATATCACTGTGCCTCTGACCGTTGATCCCGATGTCACCATCTGGGAAGCTGTACGCGATCCGTGACCGAGTCTCGGTCTGTTTGACCAGCCATTACTTTTCCCACCCATTACCTGCCTCGACAAACGGCTTGGGCAGCGGCAATGTATTTGATGATAAGTAACTCAGGTCCCATTCGTGGATGTCAACAATTTGGTCCAATAGATGATCACGGTTAGCTAAAGCTCTCAGGCTAAACTCAGTATTGCTTGTCTGATAGCCCCAACAGACTCGGGTTCATCCGATTTTCGTTGTGATTAATTATCTAGGCATTGCAGAACTGCTGCAGCAAGTGCAAGGTAGAGAAAAGGTAGCTCATCCACTACCTAATCCCGCCACGTTAATAATCTCCGATCTACAGCAGACAAACCAGTCATTCTACGAAGCTTGAAGCCTCATGCAGTCTCGCTGCGCTTCCCCACAAGCGCTCTACTGAGTTCTGTAGGGCCCTAAAATTGTCCACCTTGAGTACGCCAGCATGGTTTGTTCACCAGAATTGACACCACCACTAGTTACATCTTACCCTCAGGTAGGCTATCGCCGTCAACTCGCCAACTAGGGCGCTGTCGCTATTTGCGCCACATGAACGTACTCCCTGTATTGAAGATTCTAATGGAACAGACTGATATGTGTACGGTCCCTTGACTAAATCCAGGGATCCATGTGATTTGCATTATCGCTTGCCCAGTTATATACAGCATGTAATAAACTTTGGGCCGGGCGCCTCACCGATGCATGTTCACAGACCTTATGGAAAAAAACAATCCTCACCACGTCCGACTGTTCAACCAGTAAGTCGTACCACTCATAGAGCTAGCAGGGAACTGCAGTAGAAAAGTCGAAAACAGGCAAGGCTACGCTTTCCTTTAGAATAATAACCCGGTACATGTCTTATTGATCATTACAATCAACGATACGTCACGCACCCGTGAATCTGGTTTGAGTGAGTGGCAGTCTATATAAATAATACGTACCTTAGAGTTACGATACTTGCGGCTGGGTCGGACAGTCGTTAAGTCAAAGATGCAGAGTACGCCCCGAAAGCATGCGTGAATGCTTTAAGTTTTTCGATAAAGATTGACGCGGGTAATTCATAAGTAACTTAACAATCGCCTAAAACCAAGCAATATAACAACTCACACTTCAACCCGACCGTAGGCTAATCAAAGATTCATAGATACGAGAAAAATAGACCTGCAGGTGTCCATAGACCACTGCTTCCGAGGCAGCATCGAAAGGGATTAGAACAAATACGCACCAAAACTCTTGACCATTTCTATTTCGAATCAAACTCGAGACGGGTACAGCATAACACGAATCCGGCGGCCCATTGCAGAGGCTGGTAAATTATGCTTGAATCGGGCTCGAACAGCACCGCTGTTGCCGTGCGGTCGCATGACTTTTCCCCAAATGACCCGGATCTTCGTGGGCTTCTTACGCCTCGGGAAATTCTTCTTTCTGTGAGTGAAAGATTCGTTTGCATAAAGTGAACTCACTTCATCGCCCGATACACATATACACAACGCTTGCCGAGATAAAAGTCCGTCTCCTTACGTTCGTTAACGCCATCAATCTTCAACAATGCGGTATTTTCATGCTGATTGCGCAAACCACGGCGGTAACCAGTAAAAACAGCTTTCACGTAAAGTCTACCGGGCTGCTTTAGACGCTGTTTGTGCTTTACAGCAGCTTGAGTATCCGTCGACACCATGTTGACCTGCACGCCTCAAACAGTGAACGCGCGCTGCAAATGTGACAAGTAAAACAAAAATGCTTTTCGGTTCCATTCATTGTAGAGAATTTGATCAACAATTATCCTCCATCCGGAGTTTTCGAAATTCATGGATATTGTATTATTCGTTGCAAATTTCAATGTTTTTCTAACAATCATTCATCCAACGAGCCGCCATTCGCATGATTGCCGGGTTACATGCTACGCTGAACGATTGCATGCCACGGGATTTTTCCTAGCATCACTTCGCCGTGTACGGAGTAAGATCATATGAGTAGGAAGTAGTCTCCGTGTGACATGAGCCTAGATCTAGTAGAGTACTTTCCCTGCGCGAGCAGAGCAGGACTCGTGGACACTAAATTACGTTTCTGTAGCTTCCGTATTTTGGATTACCTCTTAGGTATCGACAATCGCGTAGGGTTACCAACCTATGGAACTCCCTTCCAGCCGAAGTGCTGGACGAGGCAATTGATAACGTGTTCAAGAGGAAGCTCGACCGCGTTCTTCGCGAAATGTGGAATGCAGATAAGTCCCGAATGCATACTTCGAGTCTGTCGTGATGGTGCTTATACGGGAAGTTTCCCAATGGCTCTAATTAATGAACATTGAATACTGAAAATTATACCTCGGAAAAATCAGTACAGTACATTTCCAGGACCTTGAAGGCGGCTTAGGGTAATGAAGTAAGATGATCAATCCTACTTGCACATTTACCTTTTACTTACTTGGGTCGTTCCAACTGCGAGATCCAGCCATACCCCTCACGGCTCGAAGCCCATGGATTGTACTGAAAGTATCCCCTATTAAACAGGCTAGTTCCAAGAACACTTTCAAGCCAATTCCCAATAAATTTTACTTAATCGTTAACACCCCTGTTGTTCTTCCTAAAAACGGGCTGATGGATTCCCACTCTCTCGATTTCTAAAACGCGAATCCTTGCGTGCAAAATGAATTTGCGGTTCCCGCAGTGATCTCTAATTCCCCTTTTTCATCTCACCACCAACATTATTCCTCCTTCCGACCTCCTCATTAGGGCGGGACGAAAGTACCACGCAAATTTCCGCAAACCGGAATTATTGAAGTCTTGAGTTGATTCACGGGTTCGAGGCTGTTGTTTTGATGTCCCGGGCCTTTGAGATTTATCTGTGTTTTCTTTTCGTTGAAATTTTTCTAGAAGGGATAGCACTGAAAAGGCATTAGTCGGGTTTCCCCGCTCGAGGCGAGAAGTAAAAGGGAAACTTACGAAATTTCGTATAACTCAAAATGTTTTTCAACAGAAGATTTTCTTTTATTGGGGTTCAGTAGACTAACCTAAGTGACGGTCAAGATGGAGTCTGGGGGCTCTCAAAATCTCTTCAGGCAGGGTATTCCATAAAGATATCAACCTAAAAGGCACGCAGAAAAGTTTTCGGGTGGGCTTGGCAATTTATTTCTGTGGCCTCCGATAGGGTTAGAGTCAGCAATAATGAAGGTTTCCACAATAACCGTGTTGAATATATGGTAGAGGAGACTTTGATCGTCCTTAGTGTGTCCAATTTTCAAAGGATAGATGCCCAGTTGTTGAAGTCGCGTTCGGTAAGTGAGGTCCCTAAATCCAAGGACTGGTTTTATAGCGGCCCTCTGGACGTGCTCAAGGCGCTTACGATCTCAGATGAGACCGGAGTGTGCAACTTGGCTGAGGTACTCTAAAAGAGGGTTGATGTACGTCCCGCAAATAAGCGGAACATCGTCCTTCAGAATACGGAAAAAACATCATTTTATGATATTGAAGACAAGAAAAGCGGCTCCACTGGCTACATGGTTGCGATATGAGAGAGCCAAATAGTTGTTTAGCCAGAAACGAACATTATATTGGTTCACTTGGGGTAGAATGTGGGAACCGTCTGTCGTAAAAAGGTAGGATGGGTGATCATTGAATGACGTCCCAAAACATTCGTCAATGTTGATTGGAAGATCCCAACCTAGTGACCGACGTTGGGTAGCATCGATTGAGGCCTGTAAAAGAGGAGCGTATGAATCCAAGATTCAGTTCAGTTCAGTATGCACAGAACGAAATATGGTTTCAAGACAGTCGAGAGTCCAGACTCTTGTATTGTTGGCGGGTGTTTATGGCTTCCAACACTGTGTATCGTTCATTCCAGGATTCTATCGTGACGTTCCGTTTCCTTTGATGGGTCCAGTTGTCTCAGTCCTCAGTGGGCGTTTCGAGCTGGGGTGTTTCTGAAAATAGACATATGAGACCTCAGCGATCTAGGCCTGGGTCAAGCTGCAATGGGTGAGTGGTTAGTATGAAGGGCCTTAAGCCTGACCATTGACACCTGGCGGAATAAAATGTCGGCACCTGGCAGATTACCAGAAAACACTTAACGGAAAACACCTGTCTCCAGCCTACATCCATATCTGTAAATATAAAGCCTCACCAGCTAGAATTTCTGAGTGTATTTTTGGCTTATTGCTCCTCAGTAGACGGTTCTCCAAAACTCATCCGAGACGATCTTGGATGCCACTACAGTGCTAAATTTGACAGTGTTCTGGTAGCCTATTAAATGGAGGGATCATCCTGTTGATGAAGAACCTGGATCGGAGATGCAGTCAACGGTGATTGCGCGTGAGCCGGACGCTATTCCCCTTGGTGTCACTGTCTGGGGTCACAGAGAAAAAGTCCTGACAAACCGTATATTATTTTGAGTGTTTTTATTAAATCAGTCACATGCGTCTGCGTCCGAGAGAAAACAAGTTCAGGTCTTTTAGTCTGTCCTCGTACTCTTTGTGTCTGGAGTGTATTACTTTTCTACTCCCTTTTATATGACATGATTTTTCAGCTAGTTTTACTATGCACAACAAGTAACAACACAATACAACTTACGTTAGTAACTCCACACTTGTTCTCCGAGTGTTGCTGAAGCACTACGTGTTCATTATCAGTTATCGTCAAGCGGTCCGTTAACTGTCGCAGCCATCCATTTCAACAATACTGTTCACCATCAACCAGAGCCACACATCCGAAGAACAGGACCAATCAACTAGGCTGACAATCCTTCTGAGTCCTTTCCATGTACCGTTTATTTCATTATTACTCGTATATGTAGTATATTTTTCACTACATTTGATACCAGCTAACATTTGGGTGGGTAGCCTTCGGACTCGTTTTAGGCAATCCAGGTCCTTCCGTAAGTATGTTGGATAAAATAATCTAGATGTGGCCGGACGATAGGCTTATACAACGGCACCAGAACCGGTGCGTCTCTGCAGGACATCTTCGCCTTTATCCTAAAGAGTTCCTATCTAGCCGCATCATTGCCGTTATGCACTGTCTGAAGTGCTTCAAGTCACTAGGAACCACCACACATAGGTTATTGGCATGCGTTACTTCCATCAGTTGCCCTATCTGGTCAGAAATGCCAGCCATTCTTGTACCTAGCTATTAACATTTGGCCAGGTTTAGTGGCAGGTCCTACTTATGTGACCAGGATTTATAGTCTCAATATCTTCATCGAGGTCTGCGCAGGCAACATCGTCAGCAAATAGGTAGCACGGGTTATATTTGCTTCTGAAGAACCTCGGTCTCATCCTACTTCTTCTATGGTCTCTGTAGAATTTACTCTGCAGAATAGCTCCACCATCTCTCCCAGTTTTTCGAACACGATGTTGGAACTCACTGGTTCGTAGCTTAAAGCGCGGTTGGAAAAAATGTAGTGGCTCCATTTCCCATGTTTTAATAACCAATTATTCGTATACGAAGCAAGAGTATTTCCTCTGTGACTGCCACATTTTATTGACCAGTTCTACTCAATCTTACCCCGATTCTGGTGTTCTCGTGGAAATTCAATAGAGATTTCACTAGACACGCTTTTCGTTTCTCTCCTCAAACTTAACGCATAATCTGTCTTCCGGTTTATGTTTTACAAACTACTTCTCCTCTAGAAATATGAATTCCGAGCTCTCACAGCCCTCCACTGAGGACACTACACATGCGGAAAACTCTAGTGCCGCATGCTGCGTCTGCAACCTTTAAATGAGCCAACAATCGGATAGCGCTTAAAAGAGCTCTAGTTGCCCTTTATCTATATGGTTCGATAATACACGAACTGCGAGGAAAAATCACCTCACTAGATAACGGCCTAGATTACTTGACAGCGTTGGTTGGGTTCAGGCAGTCAAGACCGCACAACACAAGTTATTTGTCACTAGGAACGGCAGAGAATTGTGCCAAAAAGACTGTTACGGCAGCTGATGTACTGCAGTTAAGACGAAAGATTAACCTGCTCATCCTTAGTAGGGGAAAAACCCAAATGTCGTTGCGTGTAGGCACTCTGTGTCGGAGCTAAGACGCAATCTTGATGATATTGTGAGTCTCGTACAAGAGGAGTGCCTTCCCTGGGAACTGAGGGTAATGCGTGGCGACTGTCTAAAATAGTTATAATNGGTGCACGATCATGGCAGGCAAGGTACAATAACAATGGCCTCATATAACACACAACAAGATCTGGGAAAATGGTCATGATGTTTGTGAAAGCGAAGTATAATAAAGAATTGTTGGGTGGAATAAGTTGTTGTTTTAACGCTCTATTTCACATTGTAGCGCAATCCAATTTCAACTTCAAGGTCACTAATAAACTCAGAGTGAT